TGTCCCACTTGTTGGTGATTCTTCACATAAAATAAAAAAAATATATCTTTATGTTTGAAGCCTGAAATGTGGCAAAAGGTTGAAAAGTTCAAGGGGGCCGAATACTTTCGCAAGGCACTGTATTTGCAGAAAAGTCCACTCACTACTGCAAAACCATACTGTGAATGAAAGAATTCCTGCTTTTGTGGTACAGTATTTCTTGTAAACTGGAGTCATTTGTAAAAAAAACAGGTAAAAAAAATATAAACCAAGAACTGAGGTTAGCCATTCTTCATGAGACAGTTACTAGGAAAAGTCAACTGCACCTCATTTTAATTGTGTACTTTGACAGTTCATAACACAAGATAAGATCACTTTATTGGTCATATACAATTTCTTCTATTAGGAATTTGTCTTTTTGCATACCCCAGCTTGCTCTCCATGAGACACACAAACAGGGAGAGAAGCTTGGGGTCAGAGCACAGGGTCAGCCATTTATACGGCGCCCCTGGAGCAGCTGGGGTTAAGGGCCTTGCTCAGGGGCCCAACGGAGTAGGATTCCTCTGCCGGCCATGGGATACAAACCAGGAACCTTCCAGCCACAGGTGCAGATCCTTAGCCACAGAGCCATTGCACCATCCCCAAATTGCAACAGTGTAGAAGGCAGACAGGGAATTAAATGTCATGTGCAGAGACAATACAGATTATTTCTTCATAAACAACGGGCCAGATTAAATAAAAAATCTGATCCATCCGCCGAACACAAATCCAAGATAGGAATGTCCCTTTGAATAAAATACTAGAAGCTTCTGGAAAACAGAAAGTTGCAATCATTTGGAAGTTGCTGGCAGTTGTTCCAATAAATGGAAAGAAAAACTAGAAATCTGAAGCTGAGCTCCAAGATATAGTAAAATATTAAAGTAAGGCACAGCAGGTAACAATGCAAGTGTGCTGCGAATGTAGGATGTTTCGGTACTGCATCAATAATTGTGTTGCTTCTAATTAAAACACAAATCTTCATTTATAAGAATACAAGCCTCACACAAAACAATCTAGCATATTTAGGGGGCTCCCCATTAAAACCTAATGAGCTCTTTATTATGATTTTACCTTCCTTAACATTTTCATTCTGGATTCATGCCCAAATATAGTTTTATGAAACCAGACTACTAGTTTTAAGATAAAACAATGAAGACACGCTTGAATCGCACACAGAGTAACATAAATAAAGCAAAGAAACAAAAAATAAAGGAGAATAATGTGGAGTCCCATCACATTACATTCCAGCTCTTACTTGTTATTGGCACAAATTATCAACCTGCTGTGTTCACATTTAAATTCTTTTTTCCCCCCAATTGCTTTGGTTTTTACAGCAAAGCCAGCATGTTGCATCTTCTATCAAACATATGTTTTTCGGCACAAAAAAAGCGAAGGAAGAAAAGACCACAAAACTCCAAGGAGGCGCATTTTAGTGCAGTTGCTAAATCAGCATCTCAGACTCTCTTGGGTTTCCAAATGAATGCAACTTTCACAGGAAGCACTTTGGTCGCGGCTGAAAACAACGCCTCCAGCTATATTACTCTGCCATTCTCCAGGCACTCAGACTCAGAAGCATCAAACAGAAAGGGTTAAAAATGGGAGAAAAAAAACAGTCTGTTTTAAAGAGTCAGGAGAGAAAGAAACAAAGGGAAAAAAAACTTTTTGCTAGTTTAAAGAAGAAACTTTTTGGCTTCCCTT